ATAGACTGGTCTTTGTTTGTGTGGTTCACTCCGAATCAGCTGTAATTAACTCCAGAGTGTTTCCAGATTGCCAGCAAAGAAAAATTACAGCTTTTCTGTTTTAAATTGTAAAGCTCACAAACATTAACTATGCAGATTGCTTTTACTTTGATATATTTCTATCCCGCAAGGGGAAAAAAAAAAGCTTACTCGCACCCCCCACCCCTAAAAATGTGCTTTTATTAAGTTATTTGATTTAGTGTCTATTGGAACATAATGGCTCCTTAATAGTTGGGGTCGAAATCTTTTTACTTAATATTTTCAATCCTTTGACATCCTTGTATTTGCCTTCCTTCTTGCTAATGTTTCTTAATACCGCAATGGGAAAGATGTTATGCAATCTTTTATGAAAAACTAAACATATACTAAAATAAGCAAATTGCAGAGAAAGCTGACTAAAGAGAAGCACTCGCACCAACTTAAAAGACTGAGATCAAAGATGTATTCTGACCTAACTGGTGCGTTCACACAGGTACTTTACCTGTGTTTTGATATATCAAAAGAGAGACTGTGAGAAAGGGCAATTTCACATCCTCTTCTCTCGGCCAGCACACCACACCCTTTTAAAAGCTTCTGTACAGTAGTTTGTAATTATGAATTCCAACATGGGTAGAAATGAGGTAGCACTCTGAGCTAATACAGCTCAGTACACAAAAGATCTGTCAGCAACTGATGCAAAAAAAAAAAAAGAAAAAGTCCAGCCAAAAATCTTTTTTTTTTCTTTCTTCTGAATTTAACAATAAGGAATTTAAGCCTCAATGTGGCTTTAGCAACCAAAGAAAAGAAGCTCTTGGTGTCTGCATAATACCACTTTGATGGATTTTTTTCATCAGTTCTCTGTACGTGGCAACAAATAAACAAGTATAATTATACTTGTGAAGGTCTATTCATTGCTTTGTCAGGATTAGATATATGTGCCGTTTTCACACTGCGCCTCTCTTTTGTCTTTGCCTAACTCACTATGACATATTGATAGAGGATTTGGAATGGGGAAAAGGCCACAGCAGAGACAGTGATGACCTTTTGGAAACTTGATATAATTCAAGGATTTTTATTTATTTTCAATTTTTTTTTTTTTAGAATTTGTAACTTGTTACCAAATTCTCTTGTAAGTGGACAACTTTTAACCTGTTTGAAATGAACTACATAAAGACTCCGAGTGTTTGTTAGGAGATGGCTAAAGAGCAGACGAGAATAAAAACAATAGGCTGAGGGGCACATTGGTCTTCTTTCCCAGCACTTAGCAGAGTGGCTAACCTAGCATTCCTTTCCCATTATTCTGTCCTCTTGATCAGATCACGTTCTTTTTAATCATTTCACAAACACTGTCTCACTGGACCGTAGAGGAGGGCTGGGACAATCTCAATTAAAAAACAGAGGTAAAACTGGCCTCTCTGATTTTGGGTTCTAATGGGAACTCTGCTTTCTGAATGCAAAGGAATTCTTCTATTGTTCAGAAAGCACCCCTTTCATTAGCCAGGCTCCTTGTAGGTGGGTTTGGTCATTTAGCAGAGCAGAGTTGAGGCAGCAGTGACTGCAGGAGGAAGGCAAGGCAGAGCGAGCAATAAAAGTTCTTTTCTGCATATTGTCCATTAGTTCCGAAAAAGGGATTTACATGATCAAAGTCACTGATCTTGTGAAATACTGAGAATACCAAAAAATGTGTACACATATTCTAAGCAGACCAGCAGGTACGTATTCTTCTGAATTTAGCATTAAGATTATATTAGATTTTCTCTTTGGGATTTCTTGAAGACTTTGGTGATTTTTAAAAATAGGGTGTTTGGCAGTAAAGAATGAAAATTGGTGAGGACTAAATAGAAACCAGCTTAAATGGTGAAGCAACTTTTATAGCGAGTTTACTTGTTACGCAGTCATTTTGGAATGAATTCTGTGGTTTAAGTTAAATGGTTGTCTTTGTGGTCTTTTTACTGGGGCTTATAAAACTTTTGCATACATTTCCTAAATGGGTCACGTTGATAAAAGAAAGATCTCGTCTGACATCAATGACAGTGAAATCACTTAGCATCATATTCAGTGTCACTGTACATATTGATCTAAATAACTTCTTAACTCCACAAACTAAAGTGATTCCATCAAAATATACTGGTAAGCATTGCCATAGTCATAGACAATAGCTACAAATTAAAAAATCAGGTAATCTCTTACTAGCTCTGTCAATTCAGATAGTTTTGTTGCTGCTTTTGGAATGAAATGTAAATTTGATTATATTGAAGACTTACTATGTATTTGACTTAGTTTCTTGTTAATGTGTAGCTTGTTGAGGAGAAATTGATAGGCAATTTTGTGTAAAATTATGTGGGAGTATTGTAACAAAATAAATCCGACCACATTGCTTTGACCTGTAATGGATTCTTTAGTGTAGTTTTCATAATCATTTTCACGTAGCAATAATGTTACTTTTTTGAAAGTTATTTCTTGCTCTACTAACATAGAATAAAAAGATGGGATCTACATCATAGAGAGAAATTTTGAGATGATACACTGTAGACGGCATCTGGCCAAAATTATTAACTGCACGTCACATACAACTCACTTGAGGTGCATTCAGCGTGTGTGTAATAATTCTAGCAAGTGTTTTGTGGGTGAGAACTGTTCTAGGAGTATAGATAAAACAGAATTTAAATAATAATAATTGCTCAGAACCTCATTTGCAAAGCTGTAAAGTGTTTGGGAACTTGACTCACTCTTTGTAATTAAGGTGTATCTTCTTCCACATATAAGATACATGCGTCAAGCCCACAGCATTATCTTATCATAGGGAAGAAACAAAACCACTTTGGGTTCCGGAACTTTACATTTTAATGTAGGATCATTAATTTAGTATTATTTACCATGTTGTTTCCAGCACATCTCTAGTCTCTTCCTGCCTTCCTCCTTTCCTTCAGTCCAGCAGGGGATTATATTTTAGGCATTTTGGCTGCCTTCAGTATGTACACATTGTTTGTGTAGATTTGGTAAATGCAAAGGTAAACATGAATGTTTGTGGACTAATTAGAAAATTATTAGGTTTTCATGCTTATGGTTAGCAGATTATTTCGGAAGGTTTTAAAAGCTGCATGCATGCCACGAGGATAATTAACCTGGAGCTCATCAATGATTAAAATTACACACTAAGCTTTGTGATGTTTGATTCGTGAGCAATTAGAATGTCATTTTAACCACTGCTGATACCAAAACGAATTTTGATTTCATTTTCAATCTATGCAGATCTTTTGATGTATTCTAAACTGATCACTTCCTCTCTGATTTAGCTGACAAGATGAAATTTGATTACACTAAAGAGAGTATTAAGAAGTTTTTCTTCATACTTAATGTGCCAGTGACCTTCGATGATGTCTTTCTTCCATAAGAACTTTTAAAGAGGAATTTCTAAAATGCTTAGTAATATTGGTGAGCCCAGAGTTTTGTTTTCTTCTTAGCTCTCTGCCACTGTGAAGTTTCTGCAATAGAGTGTGTGTGGTGGTGGTGGGGGGAGGCATTGCATGCCTGTCCTACCCAGTATAACATATAATGTCAGCCTTTCTCGTTTCAGAAATTGTCAGGGTATGTGAAAGTCTGGATGCTTTTAAATTAAGGAGCTATTTGCCTTGAAGTTATGAGTCCTTTCGATTTTCAGATTTGAAAGAAGGTTGCTTACCTGTTTCATAAAATCGAGACAGTGCCTATGTCATAGGCTGAAAATAAACACTAAAGTTTCAGAGCACTCAACTCTTGTGTACAGTGCCATCATTCTGCAAACTGAGAGATCTGCAGGGGCTCACAGAAGCTCAGGCTGTAATAAGCTGCTATTACAGTAGCTGAGGTTTGCAGGCACACACACAAGTGGGCACACACACACATATGCACACACACACAGAAAGGGAAGGCATTTTTACCACCATCTACCCAACTGTCCCCTCATCCCTTGCCCTGCTGCCAGAAACCAATACGGCTGTAGA